TTCCCTGGCGCCCACCCAGTAGGTCTTGTTCTGGTTTGAGTTTTGCTTTTGGAAGAGTTTGTGATTAGTGCCCGAGACTTTGTTTTCCAAGCTGCAGCCATATCCTTACCACTTCAAGGATTTTGAATTTTTCACGAGCTATGTACCACCTGTACTGTTATTTACTTAATATTTTTTCTATAAATGGATTCATGCTTTTATTAGTTTAAAAACTCATATGAAAGGGAAACTTTATGTCAAAACCATAATAGAAAACCAGGATGACTTGATATAAGCAGAAGGCAATTGGACAAAAGAACCACAATTAGAATAATGCCACAGTCTTATATTCTAGCTAGAAAGGGCTCCCTGCAAGGCTCTGAGCTGGGGGCCTTCTCTCTGTTTAAAAAGGAAGGGGTGGAGAAGATTAGAAAGATGTTATTGAGTCTTTCTCTTCCTTGCAAGAGAATTGAAAAAAAAAATAACTTTCTCCCTCTTGGTTCAAAGTTCTGAGTTCGAGTCCTGCCTCAGTTCATCTCTGAGACATGTCCCAGGCTAGGATGTATAACTCCTCCTAACCTACCTGGTTTACTTGGCCCCTTTGGAAAGTCATCAAGACTCTTCCCTGGAAGAGGGGAGGGAGCCTGCGACTTAAGAACCTGTGAGAAGAAGATGGGATGTAATGGGGGGCGGCAAAGAAGGGGGGCAGCCCGTCCCTCCTCCAAGGACCAGATTATGGCTTCCTTTTTGGCTCCCTCTACTTGTGGGTGGTCTTATGAAGCTTCCCACCATCTCCATTGGCGCAGAATTGGAAGGTAGGGCCTCCAGGAGGGTTGGGGAGCCAAGTCACATCCACTCAGTGCCTGCCTGCATGTTAGCAAATCATGTCTTTTGGGGTTGGCTTCATGGTTATTTCTGTATAGGAAGGTTTGCTCTTCTGAAGTGTGGCTGCATTGGCTAGCATGACTATCTATCCACCCGCACTGATTCATAACAGCATACGGTGCACATCAAACCGAAATGCTAAAGTTTCCCATTTATTCGGTGTTGGCTAGCCGGGAGGCTACCCGCAGCCCTGAAGATAGCAACACCTAGTTAGGAAGTCAGCTCCCTCCCCAGGATGGTAAGTGGAAAGATCCAGGGCTTTTTCTTTTTCTTTTCTGAGTTGCTGGAATATTGCTAAACTGGTCTTGTCTCTCTCTTTTTGTCGCCCCCACCCCCTCCACCCCGTGGCTTCATCTTGGATCTCTAAAAGGGCAGTTGGAACCTTTAAACGAGGTGGGTTAATTCAATGACTCGTTTGGTCTGGCTTCTAATCAAGAAATGCTTGCTTTTCATTTTGGAGTCTTGTGTGAGGCTGTGGGGAATATTGAATATTAAACAGTCACCGGATGTTGATAAGGGCACTGTTTCCAAGCCTTTCTATGGCAGGGAGATCCCGGTGAAAAGGCACTAGATGACAAGATAGGTTTCCCTCCCCACCCCCTACTTATTCCATTTGATTATCTCTGTTTGCTTTCATGTCACTGAGATTATCTTTTTGAAAAAGACTATTTTTGCTTTGCTCTCAAAAAGACAGACTAATATTCATTGTGTTTCGGAACATATTGTGTAACCCTCACCACGGTGGGTATGCCGCCCACATGTCAAGAAAGACGTTCCCATAAACTACAAAAGAAACTACCTGCAAATGTCTCGCTGGCTATTAATGGCTCCGGCGAGTTGGTGTTTGCCATCTTTGTGCCTGCAATTGGTAAACAGAAATGGAAAACATTGTGTTCCAAGTGTTGACAGACCTCCTGCATGTCGTTATGTCTCACCAGGGATGGGCTGCTTGTAATTCGGGTGTTTTTCCTTTCCTCCTCTCCACCCTTCCTGCGTCTCCTCTCGCCCCCCTCCCCGCCCACCTCCCCCAATGGCCTCAGGGTTTTCTTTCTAGAATCTCTGATCTGCTGCTGTGCAGATGGACCTGCCGGCACTGCTGTCAGAAGTGTTACGAGTCCAGCTGTTGCCAGTCGAGTGAGGATGAAGTTGAAATTCTGGGACCTTTTCCTGCCCAGACTCCTCCCTGGCTGTAAGTAACACTGCTCTCAACTCCCTTGAAAGCAATCTCAAGACCTTTTTTTATTCTCTGTTTCTGAGAGGGGGTGGGGCCTGGGGAAGGAGGATTTGAGGTATGAAAGCAGGGAAGGCCGGGTGCCCATTGACCTCTTTGCCACTGATGGGACATGCTCTGTGCCTCTCATTTTTTTTTTTTTTTGGCAAGCTGGTGAGACCAGCTGGTGGTGGGACTTCTGTTCAGCTAGTTTCACATCTTCTGAGATGTGAACTGTGTAATGCTAAACATGTGGGCACTTTTAATCACGTTGGGTGTCATTCCAAGCGGAAAAAGAGATCTGTGAGCATCTATAGTCTTCAAGGGCTGTCGATTCTAAAGGTGTCCACCCAAGTCAGTACCTGGCAACTGGCCTGGCAGCTGACCCAGTGCTTGGCACATGGTAGATGCTTATAAATGTTTGTTGCCTGGCTGGGTAGACAGAATGAACAAACAAGTGTATCTTAGCTGATCTGACCAAGAGCTTCAGAAATAGGGAAGCCGAAAAGCACCTCCGGGCTTCATCCTGTCCTCCAACGCTGTTTATGTTCTCCCTGGCGTCTTTCATTTTATTTCCAATTCGTTCTCCTCCCGCGCCTGCATACAACATCTCCATCTGCCAGTCCCTCAGATATTTTGGGAACGCAGTTTTGAAGCTTTTGAGCCACGTGTCTGGCCCATCTCTCTGTGGCTGGGAGAGGAACGTGGCCAGAGAGTCTGGGTTGAGTCTAGAGGGTCTGGGAATCGTCGAGTACCACTTCTTATGATACGGAGGGGGAGGCCCTGAGAGGAGAGACAGTGCACGTGCCCACAGCTGGAGCCTCCGTGGGGACCCAGTGCCGTCTCAGTTAAATCCTTGGGCTGAAGTTCCAGAAGCTTCTGGTGCCCCATCTTTCCCTCCATACTGGGGGGAGGGTGGGGGTGCGGGGCGGGTCATGCTTCAGTTCTTCCTCTCATTTTCTGTTTTTAGAGGCAAGTATTGCATATTTCCATAACAAAGTGGTTCTGTGTCAGGTTCTGTGAGCTGATATCCTATTTTTTCTACTTTTTCCTAGTTCTGTGACCTTGAGCAAGTTGCTTGATCTCTCTCTCTGCCTTGATTTTCCCATCTGTAAAATGGGGATGATAAAAATAATAGTATTTATTTCATAGGGTTGTTGTGGTGATTGCATGAATTAGTGTATGGAAAAGGACTTAAGAACGCTTGACACCTAGATGAGAGTCTTTTTACCCTTTTTTTGTCTCAGTTTCCTCATCTGGAACAGTAGTGTGACTTATTTTATATGGCTGTTATTCAGAGTAATGAGATATGCACATACCATGCTTATCACAGTAGTGAATATTCATTTCTATCATTATATTGATAGGGATTCTTTAAACTGATTTAGAGGCGATGTTAAGGCACTCTTCCATTATTCATAGGTAGTGACCTGAATCCCGCAGATGTGTGTAGAGTTGATTGTTTGGTGAAATCGACTCATTAATCAAGAGCTCAGTCCCATTTTCCAGTGCCCTGTGTGACAGAGGTTGGCTTAGCCCATCTGGTGTCTTTTCTTTAAAGAACGCCAGCTCTGTGAGGGCAGGGTTTCTCTCTGTCTGACTCCAAAAAATAGTTGTTGACCAACTGACTAACGTACAGGCAGAAATTGAATCCTGAAAGCATCAGTCATCCAATTGAGCCCGGCTGGTGGCTCAGTGGTTGAGTGTCGACCCATGAACCAATAGGTCGCTGGTTCTGTTCCTCCTGGTCAGGCACATGCCTCGGTGTGCAGGAGGCAGCCGATCGATGTTTCTCTTTTATCGATGTTTCTATCTCTCTATCCCTCTCCTTTCCTCTTTAAAAATCTAAAAAAAACAACAACAATGTAATCTCAGTTTCTTTGGTAGTTATTTCTTGAGTACACCCTGCAGGCACTCAATAGAGTCCTATTGCTCAGGGGATTTAAAGTCTAGTATAGGGGCCCCAGTTGGGTGGCTTAGTTGGTGGAGCGTTGTGCTGTTCACTGAAAGGTTGTGGGTTCAATTCTCAGTGAGGGCACATACCTAGGTTTGGGGTTCGATCCCCTGTTGGTGTGAGTATGGGAGACAACCAATTGATGTTTCTATCTCCTTTCCTGTCTCTCGAAAATCAATAAAAAACATATCCTTGGGTGAGAATTAAAACAAAAACAACTCGTATAGGAGATAAGGCGAGTACTTAAGTCCAGGCCCCCCTCTAGAGTTATGCATTCACACCCTGCACACCCATATGACAGTCCTGCATAGACTTTCCAATGGAAAAATCCAGGGGGAATGGCTTCATCCAGGCATAGCTGGATCCAGAGGCTTAAATACTGTCTGGGAGTGCATGCGTGTGCGCTCTCTGTCGTTGTGTCTTTTGTATTGGCCTCATTCTTTTTTTTTAAAAATATATTTTATTGATTTTTTACAGAGAGTAAGGGAGAGGGATAGAGAGTTAGAAACATTGATGAGAGAAAAACATCGATCAGCTGCCTCCTGCACACCTCCCACTGGGATGTGCCCGCAACCAAGGTACATGCCCTTGACCGGAATCGAACCTGGGACCCTTGAGTCCGCAGGCTGACGCTCTATCCACTGAGCCAAACCAGTTATGGCCTCATTCTTAAGCTTGCTTCTTCTCTGCCCCATTCTTAACAGCAGCAAAAACACCAGGAAGCGCTCTTTGCCCTGGTTTGGTGTAAATGTGCCCAATCACTTTTGCTTGGCGGAGACGGTGCTAGGATCATTCATCCCCAGGTGGCCTGACCATCCTGGACCCAGGGGCAGGGTCGTTCCCCCTGGAAACACTTGAACTAAGCTAGTAGCACAGGGTTGGCACACTTTCCCTGTAAAAGGCCCGATAGTAAATATTTCAGCTTCATGGGCTTATTCTAGTCAATTCTGCCATTGCCGTGCGGAAGCAACCGTAGTCAATACATTAATGAATGAGGTACATGCCCTTGACCGGAATCGAACCTGGGACCCTTGAGTCCGCAGGCTGACGCTCTATCCACTGAGCCAAACCAGTTATGGCCTCATTCTTAAGCTTGCTTCTTCTCTGCCTCATTCTTAACAGCAGCAAAAACACCAGGGAGCGCTCTCTTTGCCCTGGTTTGGTGTAAATGTGCCCAATCACTTTTGCTTGGCAGAGACAGTGCTAGGATCATTCATTCCCGGGTTGCCTGACCATCCTGGACCCAGGGGCAGGGTAATTCCCCCTGGAAACACTTGAACTAAGCTAGTAGAACAGGGTTGGCACACTTTCCCTGTAAAGGGCCCGATAGTAAATATTTCAGCCTCATGGGCTTATTCTAGTCAATTCTGCCATTGCCGTGTGGAAGCAACCGTAGTCAATACATTAATGAATGACGTGGCTGTGTTCCAGTAACACTTCATTTACAAAATCAGGCTGTGGATTTGGCCCTGTGGTTCGCTGACCTTTGTACTAGACCAGTGATGGCTCGGGATTCCAGGGAAGTCTCCTAGCCTGGGATGGGATGGAATGAGGGTAGGGGCTGAGCTGAGTCTTTTTAAAGGAGCAAGAGTCAGTCTGGTGACATGCAGGGGACATGGCACTTCAGACAGAGGGGAGAGCATAAGTAAAAAGAGTAAAAACAGAGGAGAGGACAGCACCGTGATGGCGAACCTTTTGAGCTCGGCGTGTCAGCATTTTGAAAAACCCTAACTTAACTCTGGTGCTGTGTCACATATAGAAATTTTTTGATATTTGCAACCATAGTAAAACAAAGATTTATATTTTTGATATTTATTTTATATATTTAAATGCCATTTAACAAAGAAAAATCAACCAAAAAAATGAGTTCGCGTGTCACCTCTGACACGCGTGTCATAGGTTCGCCATCACTGCACTAGACAGTTTGGATGCTGTGACTGGATCCAGGGCAGGCAAACACGACACATGGACACTACGTCTTGGAAGAGTTGTGAGGATCGTAGAAAATGAGCCTGCAAACTCTGATCGTGCAGGGTCTTAAATGCCAGATTAAGGAATTTGGATTTTCTTTTGAACCAGTAGGGAACCTGATAGACATGGAAAATCCCAATCTGTTTGCCCCCAGATATCTGGATGGAGCGTTCCAGATGCCCAGCCACTGAGTTGGATGACAGTTGCGCTTTGACCAGGCTACTGACCCTTTGGGCATGCAGAGGATTCTTTCAGGGGCAGGGGTAGGACCCTCTGGGAAGACAGTTCTTTTGGTTCTGCCACAAGCAGAGAAGTGGGCTGGGAACTTCCCAGCAGAGCCAACACACCACGCAACTTCTGGAGGCACCGTTGACTGGTGGTTATTATGAATGGCACCACCTAGAGTCGTGCAGTCTGCAGCCTGGACACAGTACCTGACCTCCATGCTTCCCAGGGTGAGCCAGGTCTTCCTGGAATCCTGGGCATCACTGAGTGCATTTTTGGCACTCAGCACAGTGCAAAATGTTAAGAGAAATCTGGAAAGGGGAAGCGGGTTCAGTCATTCAGAGAGCGAGTTTACAGCTTGTGCTTTCCCCAGCTTTATTTACCAAGTGGGCAGTTGCATGTTATCAAACAGGCAGGGAGTAGAAATGTCAAGTGCACAGGCTTTGCAGTGCTGTTCCTGCTGTGATATTTGAGCCCAGAACCACAGGGCTGGCAGATGAGCTGGCTCTTTGTGTGGGGGACACATCATTAGTTGTCACATGTGCTTCTGTCATGGGGGCCCCCAGCTTTCCTTGGCTGGGCTGGCCTAGTGAGGGTCAGGAAAACTGTACCGTCCAGCTGGCTCCTTGGGGGCAGTGCCAGAAAGACCCTCATTGAAGAGTGAGTTAAAGTCAGGTTATTTGTTTCTACAACTAGCATGTGCTGAGTAGCTACTGTGTACAAAGCTCCACAGGCCTTGCAGGGGATGCCCAGCTCAGATGTGTGGCACTGTGATCCGGAGCCTGGCATTGCTTGACTCAGTTAGGGTTCTACCATTTAACAGTGGTGCCAATTAATTATCCATCCCTCTCCCCACCCTACCCTGGAGCTTATATTTCCTCACCTGTAAAAGGGGCACGGTTATTAGTAACAACTAACTCCCAGGTTGTTTTAAGGGTGAAATGAGATGGTTCATACAGAACATTTAGCCCAGTGCCCAGCACATAGTGGGCACTCAGCACCTGGTACCTTTGATCATAGTAGGTACATGTCTCACCACTAAGAAGTGTATCCTGTTATAGGAGGGTTGACAAGACATGCACTCAGATCATTGTGACACAAGATAAATGGGATAAGAACCACAGGAAGGGTGTATTCATTCATTCACTGAGAAAATAAACGTGGAACACCCCAGGTGCGCCAGGTAGTAAGGCAAGGTTGGCAGTGGTGACAGATAAGACAGATACTGTCGCTGCCCATGTGGAGCTGAAGCTTGGTGTCAGATGCAGAAGAGAAGCAAGCAAGCCACAACTGAAGATAAGTGATGCACAATGTCAAAGAGAGAGAAGCAGGTGCAGGGATAAGGGTTGAAGGGGTGGGAGGAGGTGAAGGGGACAGGGTAGGGCCTCTCTAAGGAGATGCTGTTGAAGCTGAAACCTGAATGATGACAAGGAACCAAACAGGCGATGGGGACCGGAAGAGCATTCGGCGCAGTGTGTGGGAGGAAGGCAGGGAGGCCTGACGGTTGCAGAGGAGGCGGGGTGGCTCAGGCCTACACTGGTACTGTGTCAGAGGACTCAGCCAAGGCCCTGGGGGCCGATGGCGTTTAAGCTGGTCCTGGAAGGCTGGATGGGACTTCACAGGTGGAGGTGACCGCCACAGAGGTATGACAGTGGGGGGACAGGCTGTGCAGGTAGAGGTGCCCCAGTGACTCCTTCCATGGAAGATGCTACAGCTTTCATTTAAGGGAGAGCAAGAAGAACGATTGGCACAGTGTGATCCCATCTCTGTGACCTCCCCTACTTCCCACCCCCCACATTTCATCTGCTATGTTCTCCTAGAGACCAGGATCAGGGGCAGGCGAGGACTGTGCCTTTCCTGGCCTTATCACAGCCCCGGTCTTGTCCTCGCCGTGACCCTTATATCACTTTGGAAGAACATCAGATCCATCTCATTTCATGCACAGGATGCGTCGGAAGACCTTGGAGAATTCGAAACTTGCATTTTTCAGGACTAGTTTCCCTGCAGGCTTAAATGTCAAGCTGGGGGATGCAGGCTTAGAACATATCAATCCACAGCTGAGAGCTTGGGGCGTGTTATTAGCAGCATCCATCTCACGGCCACTTTGCCAGCTTTTGTCCCCTCCATTTTCCTCCCCGCAGCATCCTGATCTAGCAGCCTTATGAATATTGGGGGAATCTTAAAGACACCAGTAATGCTAGCTGAAATGTATTGCGCACCTACCCACAGCATGCCAAGCACTGTTCTAAACATTTTATATGTGTGAACGCATTCAGTGTTCACAGCAGCCATGCCAGGTGGGCACCGTTATTCTCGTTTTACAGAGAGGGAGATGGAGACACAGAGAGAGGAAGGGACTCGCCCAAAGTCACCAGCCAGGGTTCAAACCGAGAGGTCCTGCTCTTTAATTACTACTCTGTGTCTCCCCACCCTCCGACCCAAGGCTTTTCATCTTTTCATTAGGAGCACATTGAATCGTGCCTGCTGCTAATTCATAGCTGTTTCTTAACATCAAACTATTGTTCTTCAATCATTGATTCTCAGGGCCGCTTTGTAGCTATAGCCCTGCCTCTCAAAGAACCCTTGAGTGACATTGTTATGGATATTTTTAAAAGTTGTTAAACTGTAGACAGAGTGGCTGTTGGGATAGCAGAGCATTTCTCACCAAGAGCCACTTGCAAAAGTTGGGATGCACATGAACAGCCACATGGTTCCTTCCGGACTGAAGATTGACAGGTCTCTTGACTAGTCAAAGTGGCGCCCCGCCTCCATGGCCACATCCTGAGTAAGTTCCCACATCTCTCCCTCCGGCCCCAGCTTTGACTCATTGTTCTAAATTGGGAAATATTCATCCATATCATTTCACATTTTGTGCAAAAAGCAAGACGTTATTGTGAGTTTGGGGCTACCACACTATTTCAAATTTGCATGTTCCCAAGCTGCAATAAACGGCATAAGAGCAGTTTCCTCATGGTCTATTCTCCAAGGGCAGAGATGCCCGTCCCTGGGGATTCTTTGACAACCATTGAGACCTCTTCCCTCCCACAGGATGGCCAGCAGGAGCAGTGACAAGGACGGGGACTCTGTCCATACAGCCAATGACGTCCCGCTGACCCCACGTACCAACTCCCCAGATCGAAGATGCTCATCCTCAGACACGTTGAAGTCTACGTACAGCCTGACCCGGAGGATTTCAAGTAAGCATCTCTGCCGTGGCAGGGCGTCCTGGCTCGGGCAGTCTTGTGCTGCTCACCTCCCTTCAGAGTCCATGAACTAATCCCACTAGCGGGGTCCCAGGACAGAGGAGGGGAGCTGGCTTTCCCAGACACTCAGCAGCAGCCCCAAGGAAAGATGTGAAGGACACGATTGTTCCTGGGGAGGGGTAGAGTGGGATGACAGTCAGGAGACAGGATGTTGGAGCAATAATGACAACGTGACGGAAGTGCATTGCAGTGATCATTTTGACTGATTTTTGGTTTTGCTGATCACTTTTCCTTGAATTGGCTCAATTGACTGACATTGTCAGCATATATCATTTCAGACCCCAAAGGCAAGTGTCACCATGTTATACTGCAGGGCTTGCAAATTCTAGTGACTCCAGGGTCCAGGTGGGTTGTGTCAGTAACTGAGTAAAGAGGGTTGGATAGAGATAAATATCACCCTGATGCAATGACAAATGGGAGCCGATTCTCAGCCTTGAGAGGTACTAGGGCAGGGTGGGGACTGTGGCCAATTGGGAAGCTAATGCCCTGTTGAAAGGGTAGCTGCTTCTCAGCTGTAGCCATGGGGGATGGTGGGCCCAGTATTGCCTCATTTTCTAAAAGAGAAACTGGCAACCTGGGTTTTCAGATGAAACTTTCTTACTTTTAAGCCCAAATAAAATGTATCTATGGGTTGAATTTGGCTAGCAGGCCACTGAGTTTTTCCCCTCTGATGTATAACGTATGTGTTTGACCATATGGCATGATTTGGGTGGGGAGGAGGAAGGAGGGTAAAGCCCAAGGACTCCCTAAATAGAATCGTTGAAGAAGTATGATAGTTACTTTGAGGTAAGCGCCATTATTGGCTCCATTTCACAGATGGGGAAACTGAGTCCCGGAGAGTCTAAAAAATGTGCCAGAGTCACATGGCTCATTAGTAGTGAGTCATATGGCTCACTAGTAAGTAGCCGAGGTGGAACTTGACCCAGGCACTCCAGCCCCAGGGTCCACTCTGAAAGTGGAGGCAATAGAGGGTAATGGTTAGAGCCACGTCTCTGGGGCCACACAGGCCAGGCAGGACCCCGGCTCCTCCTCTTACTAGTTGTGTGACCTCTGGTGAGGGTTTCTGTAAAGGGCTGGGGGTGGTGGGAATAGTCATTAGCCAATACCCCGTGAAGGTTAGATGACCTGCTACATGCAGGGCATTTAGAACAGTGCCTGGCGCTTCACTGCGGTGATTATGGTGATGGGGCCGATGCTGCCTCTCAGAATGAATAAGAGGCTTTCAGGTGTGGAGAGCAGAGGGTGAGGAGGGTTAGGGAGCAGCGTGGACGATGTGAGAAGCTGGGAAATGTTGCCCACCTCAGGAAGGGGCCCAGGGCCGGCCCCCTGCGCGGTGGTGTTCATGGTTATTTCTGGCGGCTCTTTAGGTCTGGAGTCCAGACGACCCAGCTCCCCGCTCATCGATATTAAACCCATCGAGTTTGGCGTCTTCAGCGCCAAGAAGGAGCCCATCCAGCCCTCGGTGCTCAGACGGACCTATACCCCCGACGACTATTTCAGAAAGTTCGAGCCGCGGCTGTACTCCCTCGACTCCAACAGCGACGATGTGGACTTCCTGACGGACGAGGAGATCTTGTCCAAGTACCAGCTGGGCATGCTGCACTTCAGCACCCAGTACGACCTGCTGCACAACCACCTGACGGTGCGGGTGATCGAGGCGCGGGACCTGCCGCCCCCCATCGCCCAGGACGGCTCGCGCCAGGACATGGCGCACTCCAACCCCTACGTCAAGATCTGCCTCCTGCCGGACCAGAAGAACTCCAAGCAGACGGGCGTCAAACGCAAGACCCAGAAGCCCGTGTTTGAGGAGCGCTACACCTTCGAGATCCCCTTCCTAGAGGCGCAGAGGAGGACCCTGCTCCTCACCGTGCTGGACTTCGACAAGTTCTCCCGCCACTGCGTCATCGGGAAGGTGTCGGTGCCTCTGTGCGAGGTGGACCTGGTGAAAGGCGGGCACTGGTGGAAGGCGCTGATCCCCAGTTCCCAGGTAAGGAGTGGGGGAGAGGGAGGTACCGTGTCTTCTTCTGGGAGTTTGTGGTTGATTTTTTATGAGGATTTTTATTTAAAAATATTGTTTTGCGCCTTAAAACATTTTATTTTGAAATAATTCTCTACTTACAAGAACTTGCAAACACAGAACAGAGTTCCCATGTACCCTTCACCCAGCAACCCCCGTGATAAATCTTACACGACCAGAGTGCATTCGCACTGGGAAGTGATGGTGGCAGCTAACCTGCAGGCTTTCTCAGTTTGCACCAGTTTTTACATGCACTGCTGTGTGTGTGTGTAGGTCTATGAAATTGTATCACATGTATGGATGCATGTAACCACCACCACCCTGGGACTCTCCAGTCATGGATGGTGTGTTATTTAATCAGGAGAGTGATTAGCTGGGTAGGAAGCTATCAGTCATGTTGACTTTCCCAAATTGATTTGGGAAAAATAAAATGAGGGCTGAAGAACAGGATGATAGATGGATGTTTTGCAGGCAAATTGTGAGATCCCAGCCCAGGAACATGCAATTGGCTGCTTCAGAAGCCACCCATGGACCAAGCTCTGTGCCCAGTGGTGGTTAGAGTCCCCCCACCTTGGGCACTCTGTGGGCTGGAGGACGACAGTGCTCCCACTGGGGGTGCAGCATGTGCTGGGAGCCCGAGGGAAGGAAAAGCCCGGCCCGGGGAGGCCGGCCCAGCCCCCCGTGCTGCGGACAGCAGTCCTGTATAACAGGCGGGATTATTTTGCATCAGACACACCAAGGTGCTTCTCGAAGCTGAGCTCTACTGGCCAGGGATTTAATGGTCCAGCACCACAGGTGTAGGGTACAGATGCTGGACATGAGGACTGGAGGGGCTGCCCCACTGCCAGAGTATTTGTGTCTGTGCGCATCCTCAGAGATAGGAGGTCTGTTCATCTCTTAGTTTGGATTCCTCAAGAAGAAGACCCTGAGGCAAGGGAAGTCGTTTATTAGGGTTGTGGCACTGGAGGGAACACCAGGAGAAACGGGAAAGGTACATAAAGGGTGCATTTGGGGGCTGGTACCACTGTGGGTGACTGGAATGGAAACTTGCTGGGAAAACTGGGAGCCAGCATCGGACGTGCCTGAGGGTCTTTCTGCCTGACAGGCAAGGGAGCTAACGTTTTTATACACTAACTAGTACCAGCTATTGGATGAGGGCTGTTGGGAGATGAGGAGGTTTATTTCCTGGCCTTTCTGGACTGTTACACTGTCAGATGAAGAGACCTTTGACATCCACAGATGCTGGCCCATGTGCACTGACGTGGTCACGGCCAAGAGATGGTGGGCAAGGTGTTGATAGTGTCTGCTACAATCCTAAATCCTCCATGTCACGGGATCCGAATGTATTGGGTGCTTTCCATGTATCCTCCTCAGTATTTGATATCACTGGGTTTTCAACTGTCAAGAAAGTTACAGTTGAAAGAGGGAAACCCCCCTCAACAAAATAATTTCTTCATGGCCAAGCTCCATTGCTGACATCAGTGGAAGGTCCCGGAGATGCAGAGAATCTTACCTCCTTTAGGTCTTGGCTGAAATATCACCTTTTCAGCAAAGCCCTCCTGGCATATCTGCCCTAGTTTGGTTCTCCTGAATGCTGCGGTCAAGGTGAGGACGTGGGTGCAGGTATATTTAGGAGGTGATCCCAGGAAGAAGGAGTGAGGGGCAAGCAGGACACAGGAAGGAGGGGACGTCAGGAGTCAGTGGTGGTTTTTAAAGTCTCCATTCTGTCTGCTGGCGCGTGGACACTGGCCAGGGGGCTCCCTCAGAAGGGCTGGGCAGAAGAGAGAAAGAGCCCAGGTGCGCCGGTATCGGCCAGAGCTGAGTCCACATCGAGCAGGACTATGGGAGCATCTGTAGCTGACACCAGAGGCCGAGTTCGCTGCACCGCCCTGTTCATGTGGCTGCCTCCACCTGGGTCCAACTTACCCCTTCCCTTGCTTTATCTTTCTCCATGGCAATTACCGTCATTCCACAGAGCATGCGTTTTAGGGCCTGCCTTCCATGCTGGCAGGTAAACCCCACGAGGGCAGAGGTGGTGTCTATTTTGTTCCCCTGCACTGAGAACAGTGCCCGGCGTGTGGTGGTGCTCAGTGGGATTTGCTGGGTGAATGAAGGATAGAAGGAAGCATTCTCCAGAGTGAATTTCTATTTTCCTTCTCCCTCCTTCCCTCTCACACCCCTTCACCTCCCTCTGTCCCTTCCTTTCTCCCCTTTTTCCTTCCTTCTTCCTTTTCTTGTCACACGAAGAAAGGCTCATGGGAACTCGGAGGGAAGAAGGGACTCAGGCTTGCTCGGCCTTTATGCTCCTGAGAGCACAGGCCAGTTGTGTGCGGCTGGGTTTCCCTGAAGCAGAGCCCGAGACAGGAATGTGGGTGTGGATTAGCTTCCTAGGGCTGCTGGGCCTAAGCACCACACATCGGGTGGCTTACATCTCAGAAATGGATCTTCTCACAGTCTGGGCGCTAGGAGTCGAAGATCGAGGTGTTGGCAGGGCCGTGCTCCGGGGAACCTGTAGGGAATCCTTCTGCCTCTCTCTGGCTTCTGGCGGTTGCTGGCTCTCCGTGTTTCCTGGCTTGAAGCTGCATCCGTCCGATCTCTGCCTCCGTCATCACATGATGTTCTCTGTGTGTGTCTGTCTCTTCTCTTCTCATAAGGACACCAGTCCTATTGGATTAGAGCCCCACCCTGCTCTGCTATGACCTCATCTTAAATAATCACATCTTCAGTGACTCTGTTTCCAAATAAGGTCACATTCTGAGGCACTGGGGGTTAAGACGTCAATATATCTTTGGGCGGGGGGTGGG